TCTACACTCAGGTAGATCAAGGCAATCAGAATGCAGACAGACATGAGTTGGACTACACGATAGAACTCGCTGAAGGCCATCTTTCGCAGATGGACGAGCTGAACTCGCAGCTGAGTGAGCTGGGGTTAGAGGACGAATCCCCTCACTACGCGGAGCTTCACAGAGCAGTCGGCCTGGGTAAGCGTCTTCTCGCAGACGCAAGTAAGAGGAACGAGACCGCACCTGTTGTGACACAGGTCGTAACTCCTCAGAACCATTTCAAACTGAATTTCACGCTTCCAAAGTTCAATGGAGACCTCATGGCCTGGCAAGAGTTTTGGGAACTGTACGAAGCGTCAGTACACCAAAACAGTGCTACTCCCCAGTGCAGAAGCTATACTACCTGAGACAGCATCTCGATGGAGCTGCAGCGCGGTCAATTCAGGGCTTGCAGTTGACAGCAGACAGCTATGAGATCGCTGTTCAAACACTGAAGGAGAGGTTCGGAAAGACAGCCTGAGGAAGGACACCATCATCGCCAAGCTGCTCAGCCTGCCGACGGTGGCAAGCACCGACAATCTGAAGTCACTGAGACGTCTGGTGGATGATGTGACGACCGGAGTCGCCTCTTTGAAGACACTCAAAGCCGAACACACTGGTGATGTTCTTCTGCCCGTCCTGAAAGGGAAGATCCCACCGCCCTGGCGTCTTCAGTGGGCGAGGCAGCGGGGACAGACCATGGGCCAAGAACAAGGAGAGTTCGCAGAATTTCTCGCATTTCTGCAGAAGGAAGTGGGGTATCTTGAAGAGGCCGCTCAAGTACCATGCAGCAAGGCTACTGATGACAGCTGTACAACGGTACAGAAAGCGACAACAAGTGTGCTGATCACCCAGCGAGTTCAGGCAACGCCAGCTCAAAAACCGTGCCCTGTGTGTAAGGGATCCCATCGTCTCGACAAGTGTTCGCGGTACCTGGAGATGACAGTCGAGGACCGCTGGGCGACGGTGAAGAGGGTAAGGGCCTGCTTCCGCTGTCTCGGACGTCACTTCATCAAAGACTGTAGGAGTGGCAATTGCAGGCACTGTCAGGGCTCGCACCATACCTCTCTGCATCGTCACCAAGCCCCAGCGCCAGAGCCTGCACCTGCTCCTCTCGCCAGCTCTGTTCCCTACAGTCCTGCTGTACCACCTCCCGCGCCGGTACCTCCAACAGTTAGCACGCATCCATCAGTCTCTCAAAATCAACGGCCAGGACCTTCCACTTCCAGCCACGGCCAGCACTCCCATCCCAGCATGCGCTACGCAGCCTAGCGTACTACATCACAGTGTTATATTCAGACTGCGCTGGTGGTGGGGAGAGGGCCACGCGGACCCAAGATGCTGAGAGCCCTGCTGGATGGTGGGTCCGACGCATCTTATATCAGGAAGACGGTCGCCGAAGAGATGAGACTGGAAGTCATCGGCTCCGACACATTCGCTTGCGTCGGCTTCCAGGAGAGAGCGGAGGAGCCACGGTCATACGATCGCGTCGCGGTCGACCTACAAAACCGACACGGAGGTGAAGCGAGGAGATTCGAGCTGTGGTGTTGTGACCGCCTGTGCGCACCTCTACCACCGGCAGAGCAGCCCGAGGGACTAGATGAGAACATCGAGCTGGCCGACGACTTCAGCGGTGGCCAGGTGGACATCCTGATAGGGACAGACCAGTACTACAAGGTCGTGCTGCGGGATTGCGTCGTTCTAGATGAATCCCTGAGAGCACTGGATACGATCTTTGGCTACGTGATCCACGGGAAGGGCACTGCAACAGGACAGTCCACTCGACATGTATACCACTGTCAACAAGTGAAACAAATGTGGGACCTCGATTCCATGGGTAAAACTCCGGACCCTGAGGCTCAAAAACTCCAACGAGAACCCGAGGGAAACTCGCAAGAAGAGCGCTATGGGCCGGGACTAGAAGCTGAGGACCCGAGATCCGTCCATCCTCTTGGTGAAGACGTGGTCTTCCAAGTCTTCTGTGACGAAGCCAGCAAGACTTGCTGTGCCGTCGTGCACGCTGCCCACGGTGGGGAGCCTCAGCTGGTGGCGACAGAAGCCAGACTGCCCCCTCTGACAATGGCCAGCAGTCAAAATAAGAGAATCGAGGAATCAGAAGATCCGGCGAAGGAGCTAGAGAACACCAGCCCCATCCAGGCCAAGAGTCAAGCACTCGACGTGCGCACGGATGACGAAACGAGACCGTCACGGAGCTGTGCTAGTGCGGTGGTCACATCGACTCGCACATCTCACACCAGAGGGCCATTCCTTCCGACGGACTGTTCCCATCGGAAACAAGCGATCAGCATAGCATCGCGGGTGCTGCGGCTCATCCATAGGCTGCGCTTTCGAAAGGAGCAGCGATCTAACGGACCACCCAGACCCAAGAAGCAGCGCAACGCTCTGTATTGGTGCATCAAACTGGCTCAGCGGAGTGCGGAGGTTCTCCGACTCCCTAGTCCCAGTCTTCGTCCGAGTGTGGAGGTTCTTCGACTTCTAAGTCACAGTTCCATCTGAGTGCGGAGGTTCTCCGACTCGAGCAAGGCATCCTACCATTCTGAGAATTCGCAAGTAACTACTGTATAGTTGTGTCTTTCTCAGTCATCCATCATTCAAGTATCATGCTTTCGCTCAACGTTTCCTGTGGCAAACGCATCACAACTTACGTCATTTCCCGACGTCCCGTCAACTTGCATTTTCCTGATTTGCCCAATGCCCAGAATCTTTCCATTAGCGAAAAGTCACTCATCGTCGCCACTTTGCCCATTTTCCTCAAACCATCGAACGTTCCCAGATGTGTTACATTGTGCGTTTATTTACTCATGTTTGTATCATTAGCAGGCCAACATGGAGGTGACTATGCTCAACGATGACGAGGCCGGAGACTGGCTGGCGGACCGGGCGGGACCGGACACGGTACATGTCCGCGACACCCGATCTCCACATGCTGCAGCCCGTTGCTCCGGACTGTCTCCGCGGGCGCCACTCGGCCGGATCCTGGCCTGTGCGCGCGTCGTCGCTGTGTGGACCAGCCTGGACTTGGAGCCGGGAGACACTCGACGGCTGGCGTGTCGTCATGGCGACATGCGACGGATACATGTGTTCCAAGAAGAGAAAAAAACCTTCGTTTTTTGGTGGGGAGTATGTGGAGTGTGGGCCCCGCGCGCAGTAAAACCGGCAGCTCTGGTGCGGCGGCGGCGTTCTCCCCTACCCTCTCCGTCGGGACCCATCCGCGACAGTCCCGGCGTGATTTGGTGTGCCGTCGCGTGAGAATTGTATTTGTGTTGTTACTTGTTATCGATTGTTGTGTTTATTATTACGTCGCGTACCACGGGGCTGTGATGCTTGTGTGCCTTGTATCGCGTTGGCGGGCGCTCCGCCGGCCGCTGCCCGCGCTCGCTGTAGCGCCGGCCAATCAGAGGGCCGGGCCGGGCGGCTAGCCCCAGGCGCCGGCCGAACTGACCTGGGGTCGGGACTCGGAGCGGCAGTCAGTCGGCTCTCGATCTCTGCGCGGTACGTGCCCGTCCGGACACGTGCTCTCTGAGCTCGGGCGTCGCTCCGGCGATTTGAGGCCGTCCCAATAAGCTAATACTGGTGGTTCGCCCTTGTGGACGACCATTTTGATGCCAGTATTCCCCCTAAATCTAATACGTTTTGCATCTCAACGGAGTATGGTTTCGGCCGTTCGGTCGAACCTACTCGTTAAATTTCCTTAGCAATTTTCCCATAGTTATCCTCTCGTAATCTGGCTTAGCTCCAGTTTAACTCCGGCCATAGCGCCGTTTCACCTCAGGGTTAACACACGACATACAATCGCACGCATCAGCGGGATGCGCTCATGTTCGAAGGCTCGATGCGTCTGACTCGTTCTGAGATTCGTGTCTGTCTTTGCTGGCAAGTGTCTAACCAGCTCATGTCTTGTTCTTGATTTGTCTTGATTTTCGGCACGCATGAGTAAGACTTGTGCGGAGGTTTCTCCGACAAGGTTTCGACAATACATTTAAGACGTGCCAAGTACAGCTTTGACCTGGCGGTCGCGGTGATCAGTCGGCTAGTCCATTCTCTCAAATGATACAGTCCACTTAAAGCTCTCCACACCCACTTCGACTGCACGTCCCCCGCCACAGTAGGGTGCCAACTCGGGCCACTCTCTGTGGACAGCGGCAGGGCCGCTCCAAGTTTCGACGTGCAGGGCGACCTTTCAACATCAACACGGGGTAGCGGCCACGACAGCCGGTCAAAAATAGTCCAAAGCCTACGCGATTATGTGGTAGATATTCCATGAACATTGGGTTTATTTGGTTTAGTTGCATTATTTCCATCAAGTAATTCCAGGCACAAGTAGGCTGAAAATGACCATAAGCTGCTTTATAAAACGGCATTAGCCGTTTTCACGACGGGCTATCCGGCGAATGCACCTGATTTGCCCAAATCTGCACCTAATTTCTTTTACAGCAAATATCCTCATTTTATGAATTTATTTCAGTGTTTTAATCCATGATGCCCTCTGATAATATGACAAAGCATGCATATAAGCAATTAGTGCAACCCTAGCTGATAACTGCTAAGAGACACACTGAACCTGATTTGACCAAATCTGCACCTAATCTGTGCCAGATGTGCACCAAATGTGTACCAGATGGCCGTCGTGAAAATGGTTATTATCTACCTAACTTATTTTAGAAATAACTTTATATTGTATCGGCTCTGCATAGATAAATATAAAGGACTTACAAGTAAGCGCACTAGATAACTACTCATAAACATAGAGACATCAATGCATAGAAATATAAAGCATATAGCGTTTAACACACGCTAGTTATTTACCGACATTCATGGATGGTCAGTTATTAAAACAAACCAGCAATGTGTGATATATTACAGACAATACCATGGGCGACCCTCAGATGCTTGAAATAGGTATTACAACACGCACCACTGTAAACAGCAATGCGTGCATGTTGAGCTGCCGCCCGACTTACGTTGAGCTCGAAGCCGGCCACGGCGATGCCGGAGGCCGCTCCGGTGCCGGCCAGACCGATAAAGTGGCCGCTGCCGATGTTACTGGCGAACAGGGACGCCCCCACCTGCAGGGGAGCGGGGGGGGGAGGTCATGGGGCGCGGCATTTACCGGCGGCAAGTAAGTAAGGACGTACAGTGGATCTAGTAAGGATCTCCAGACGAAACTAGATGGCGTTGAGCCTCAGTCGAGTCCATGTGAAATTGAAAATTCAAGGAGAGGTCACTACCGAGCTGAGCCCGGTGGGGAGGTGGGGAGGGGCGAGGGGGCGGGGCGGGTGGCGAGGTCACGGTGCGGGTGACCTGTCAAACAGCCCCGGCGCGGTGGGGCACTGCCGCAGGCAAATGGCGCAGTCCAGCGTTGTTCCATATCGCGGTGTGGGCCGGGCGGCCGGCTAGCTTGGCAGTTGGCTGCTTGGAAGGAAAGGATAATGAGGCATGGGTTTGCTGTGGCCGGTTTATCTACTGTCAACTATGATGAACCCAAAAATGCAAATGTGATGTTTGTGATGCAGCTGGCAATGCAATGCTAGCGAATGCTCCGGGCGCCCAGTAGCTATAAGGATTAATATTATTTATTTATGTCTCCTGAAATTTTCATTGAATATAACTCAAGCAATAGAAAGATCGCATCGTTCGCCAGTTTTTTGACCGGCTGGCGTTTCTTGCGTAGAGCGCCCTTTGGCAAATAATTATCACGCAGGTGATTGGTAAATGGTAAGATGGGCCTTTAAGGTCAAATCAAGTCGCTAAGAGAAGATGAGGAAAAGTAGACGAATGCCACATTTTTGTGCATGAAGTCTCGAGTTAAAAAAAAGCTAAAAGTTAATGTGTAAGCTAAAAACAATCAGATCAGTTAATAAAAATATTTGACCCGAAATTAGCCTCTGTTTTGTCTGACCATGATTGCGTGTAAGACACCGGTCCAACAGGGTTCAACCCGGCCCAACCTGGTTCGGCTCCCCCTTTTTTAATATTAAATTTGGCCCAAACCTTTTGAATGAAAGGAATCACAAGGACAGAGTCCCCGCTAAGCTGAGCTTGTTGCGTTGACCCTGCTCTCTACCCTCCGATCAAACAATTCCTGGTCTATGGCAGAATTAGAGTCCAAATTTTAACGTGCGCACATAGCCGCGCACGGCCGGTCCCCTCACTGACTTCGCCTGGCAGCGGCCTGCCACCAACCACAACCACACCCGTCAGGAGGCTCAAAAACGTCAAACACACGTCGCGTTTCGAACCCGGACTTTTGCGACCGGGACGTGCGCTCTCACCACATGGCACATGGAGTCCAACGCTCTACCGACCGAGCTACCGGGACGGACATTTACCTCGGGGTTTCGCCTCGTGACATTGACAGACGTCAGACACTTTGGCCGAACTCTAGCCGAAACAGAGCAAGCTGCGCAGGGCGATAGGTGCTCGTAGCGTTGAGGTTGGGTAACCTGTGAGCTGAATGCGATGTCGTGAGTTCGAGCCCCCACTCCCGGGTCTGGTTTTATCTCGACACGAACCAAACCTTTCCTTCTACTGCAGCACAGATAAGCACGATGCCATCTTTCCCGAATATCTTTCCCCAATGTCCTCTCAAAAAGTCAAAATTATCGCTTATAAATGTTTAGCAAAGTTTCATTTTTAAGAAAATATTTTTGGACATTTTTCTGGAGCCATTTCAAATCTTTTTTTCTTTTCTGATTATTTTCGGCCCGATAAAACCCGCCGAAACTGAACGTGCCAAATGAAAAATATCTAACTCAAATAACAGTTTAGAACAGCCTCATCATGCATCATGAAAAGCATCATGCAACTATCGACTGAATAGTTGCATGCTATGAATGCGTCCTAGATTTCAATTAGTTATCATTGTTCAACATTTTGGCTGGAACTGACGCTGCTTCTGGCATGCCCGTTTGTTTGAGATAATGATTCCCAGTTTCAGTCGCATTTTTGCTGGTTCCACATGAACAGGATACCACCATACCGGAGTGAACGCACCCGCAACCACCATCCCCTCCCCTCAGCCTCGGCGCAGTGGCGGGCGGCCCTGGGCGGCCCACTCCAACTCCCGGCCCTACGCACGCCCCATGCGCCGTGATACCGCGTCACTCCCCCTCCCTCCTTCCCCCACAATGACCGGTGACCTCACTTCCCTCGGGATTTGGACTCGCCCTACCCCGACCGTAGCGCCACGTGGTGGCTCTGGAGATCTTAAATAGACCCACTGTACATAAACTGGCCGGTGCAAAGCTATAGGTCAAGTCGTTTGAAATGAGCACCATCTTCAGCAATGAAGTCTTACATTGGTCGATAACGCGAGATTATAGTTCATTTCCAATGTCGATATAATGAAACAGATGTGAAAAATGCCATTTTTAGCCTAACCTTTCTCCCCTTTTGATAGTTCTTACCGGGATCCAGTGCATGCTTCTGGAGGCCAAGAAGTATCCTTTCAAGTTATCCTTCTTGCTTCTTCTTGAGCTCTGAAACAATTAATTGCATTTCAGATACATCATCAGCAATACTAACCTGTAAAGCGTATTTAGGGTTCCCGCAGTTTCCATGCCCGAGTTTCCCGAATTGTCCTGGAAGCGATCCACATCGCGTCATCCCCTGCCGCAGTGGGTCGGCGCTGTGCGGTAATCCGGGTCATTCAGTGATAGCCACCGATTGTACTGTGGCCGCGCCGCCGCCGTGCTATCACGACTAACTCCCGAAATACACCGTCTGCGGCGCGGCGCAGACCACCAGACTGCAGATCAATGTCATTCACATACCCGCCGCCCCGGCGAGATCCGAATATTGCGGCCCCCCTCTGCGGCGTGCCTGCGAATGGCACCCTTTCACCCACCGCCAATGACATCGGCTATTCAAACGAGCCAGGCCGCCGGCGGCGCATACAGCCAGCGAGGTGGCGGTGACGCAAGTGCGCCGACCACGTCATCGGGACAGCGCTCTAATTGGGACTGCGCATCAGGCTATCCATGTCTTCCTCCAGTTTCCAGAGGCATTTTTGAATAAAAAGCGTTATCTTGAATATTTGTGCAGTTGTTTCTGTAATTGTATGTGCCCATCTCATGCATGTCAGCAGGAAGTATGTAAGTAGATACGTGAGTGTAGATAACGTATGTCTACAACTCGGCGAAGCGCTGTCGACGTTCAGGGTAACCGCCATTAGACCGCCGGATTGATCACAGCCCGCGTATGTCGGCTGTCATCAGAGCACTCTCGCTGTGTCGCTGCCTCTCTCAGCAGTTCTGGCCGCGGCCGTACCGCCGGGAGCGCGGATCCATCGTGACCTGTCAGCGGCGTTTGTTGCCGACTGAGCAGGCACGACCGGAACGGTAAGGTGGTGGACCGATGGCGGGTCGATGGTGGACCGATGGCGGGCCGATGGTGGACTTCTGGGCCGATAGTGGACCGAGGTGGGGGACCGAAGGTGACAGACCGATAGACGTTGAGAGCGTTAGCAATTATAGTGCAACGACGCGGAAGGTGCAAAGGTAGAGAGAGAGAGAGAGAGAGAGAGAGAGAGAGAGAGAGAGAGAGAGAGAGAGAGAGAGAGAGAGAGAGAGGAGAGAGGGTGGTGGAGGGACAGAGTTTGAAGGAAGAGGAAGGCATAGAGCCTAAAATGCCGATTACCTCGCCATTGTTATCCCTTCCTGACGACTGTGCGCTTCTTGCCCCGGTTGCCATGCTCCCCGGAACCCTATCTATGGACTATGACTGACTGACACATTCCCTAATCGCTGGCAAAGTGATACTTCGCACCTTGACCTCGATTCGATTCAAAGAGGAACACCGAACATACGAGAAAGCCTTTTGCTGTGCAATAGCCTTAACCCGCGACCGCCTGGGGGGTCGGATCCGACCCCCCCTCTGTTTTTCTTGAATAACTCATGAACCACTTTCGCTATCTACTTGAAACTAGGCATACCTTCTCCCCCATCAATTTGACGTCTCCTGTGCAATTTTTAAGAAAAAAAATCCAATTTTTTTTTTAGATATATCGATTTTAGTGATGTAACTACATGGCGTTTTTAGTCAAAAAGTGGTAAATGTTTAAAAATCGCCAAAAATCAGAGTTTTAAGCAAATTGCAAATTGAGGACATGAGAAAATGCAGCCCAACGAGTACTTTACAATGGCTATCTCGGATTTTCCATAAAATGCGTTTTTCACCCCTAAAAATTCAAAAAACTATATTTTTTGGAAAACAGCTTATAAAATCCAAAATTTTGGGAATTTCCAAAAAACCGGAATATATATTGTAGATCTCTATTAGAACATTAGATGCCCCAAATTTCAACTTTCTATCTTGATTTTTGACCCCCAAATTGTAAAAAATAGCTCCAACATGCATAGGGCATGGTGACGTCATAAGCATTTTCGTGAATTAGAGGCACTTCTGAACATCGCATGTGAAAACAAATGGCACCACTAGATTCCAGGGACAAAGCTCGTCTAGAAAAGTGCATTTTTATGTCAAAAATAAAAAGTTGAAAAATTGACTTTTTTTCTTAGCCCTCGTTTAGTTATGTATAGTATAAACGATTTTTAATGCTTTCAATGCACACTTATTACCAGCACAGTGACTTGGGGTTACATATAACCATTACCATCGGATTCGGCGTGAAAAATAAGCCATAAAACATGTGTCGCACGCCCATGTAGCAGAAAGTGAAAACCGTGACCTTTTGTGACCTGACCTGACCTTGACCCGTGCTTAGTATGACCCCTATGCGCACATGGTACCTTCACTAGGCCTTTGAGGTCATTTTTGGTGAGTTTCGAGCAGCAGCTATCGATTCCCCTGTCCGTAAGCCGATTCATGCAAAACCCCTGAATTTGACCTTTGACCTGACCTTGACCCGAAAGTTGACCTCAATCTTAAAATCTTAAGAGTGCTTTGGGAAATCTCGTAGAGACCTTTCGAACGCCGCCTCGCGGGGCTCGATACGACCATTGGTTCTCGAGATAACAGGGCCCCCCCCCCCCCCAGGCTGTCGTGGGTACGGAAATAGCCCAGGCGGTGCCGGGTTAAAGATATATTTTTTTATGTTGAAATATACTCTGCACAGTTGAAATATTGTTATGAATCATGGCAAATAAACCTTAATTGGCATGTAAAGGTTGGCTGACTGGCTCCACATTGCACAATCGGGGGGAAGTTTGTCCACAGACCGCTATTAAATACCGCGACAGAGCAGTCTGTCCGGCTCCCATTCACGGCACGTCCGTCCGTGCCATTTTCACCGATGACGTCACACGCCGAACCATCCGTCTGAGATTAGCAGCGGGGGAGGGGGGAGGGCTGGGCGGACTTTCCGGGTACAGCGGCTCGTGTCAGTGGTCCCGTGCCGGCTAGACGCGCGGAGAGTCCGTGAGTCATCAGCGCGGGGTTTCAGAGACCGCTTCCGTTCGGCCGCCGTGCCGGCCAGCTGCGTTCTACTCGTATAGCGGCAGTATCGCAGCGCGAGCGGGCAGTGTGGGAGGCGGACGGCGCGGTGGACGGACAGGCCTGCTCACTCTCCTGTCTGGAGGTGGTCGTGTGCTGCGGTGGTCAGAACAGGAACCACGGTGCTCGGTCCTAGAGGGACAGCGGGGTGACATCAGTGATTGCTTCCTGCATTGGTACTTGAGAGTTTGTTAGAGCCGGCCGACTGTGGGCGCGATCAAACAGCTAACGGACTTACAGGAGAGGACGTGCCTTTGAAGAGCCATTGCAAAACCATCTCTCATCAGAAGCTCAGAGTTCTAAGAGCGGCGTCTTTTCGAGCCGCGGCGGACGGTGGCAGTGACAGCGGGCCGTCCCCGACTCAGCGAGATGCGTCAGTGGACGGTGGTGGTGCTGATGTGCTCGGCAGTGGCGGGCACCAGCCACACTGGTGACAGCTCGGCACCAGCGGCGCCGCACCAGCCCGCCACCCGGCCTGCCGACGGCAGCTCAGTGCCCTCAGACACCAACCTGGACAACGACCCCGACACCAACCTGGCCAACGACCCCGACATCAACCGAAACAACCTGTTCGGCATCACGTGCGCGCGCGGCCTGGTGCGCATCAACGGCGTGTGTGTGCACACGCGGACGGCGCAGCCGGCGCCGCTGCCGCCCGGCTTGGCCGACGGCGGCCCGGACTACGACGACGTCGACGACGACGACTTTCTGACCCAGCTGGGCGTGGACCCCAACTCGCTGCCGCCGGTGGTTGGTGGACCAGTGGCCATGGTGCCGGTCCCGTCGGCCAGTCCTGACCCGGCCGATGTCACGCCGAGTGTGGACGACTTCCTGGACTCGCTGAGTGACGAGGAGTTTCTGCGCGAGCTGCTGGCCGACTCGGAGCGCGCCGACCCCCCGCCGGCGCCGTGCTCCGGCCGGGGTCTGTTCCGGCGCGGTGTGGTGCTGGTCGCTGTCGGTTCGGCGCTGCTGGCTCTGGCAGTGGCGGTGGCGGCGTGGACTGTGGTCAGGCGGAGGCGGCACGGCGGCCGGCGGGAGGTCACGGTCTGACCTCCCGCTGCTGAGGCCGTCGGAGGGTGCTGGGAGGCCACCTGAGGTCGGGTTACCCCGCCGCGGTGGGGAAGGAATAGGAGACTGGCTGTGAGATGCGACTGTTGTGAGACATAAGGCCTACGCAGGTCATGACTGTAACGACTGTTGTGAAATTATATTTCCTATGTAGGTAATGCAATTGTGAGCGACCTGTGACTGTAGGTGATGTGCGTTACCTATTGACGAAAAGCAAATCAAAGAAGTGCATTCCATATTGCGTATGCTATGATTAATTAACAGGTTCCGTGGGTCATCCATTTTTTTATCAAGTGACATCACCGTGCATCGGCCTGCGTGCTCAATACTGTGCGTGTTTTGTGCCACAATAAACAAAACAATTCTTACTAGAAGCAGGCTCCAATATTCAGCACCTGGACGCGCCTATGATTTTCGGAAACATACCTTGCGTCATTAAATGAAGGGTCATGACATTTTCACTATTTGTTCTTAAATTTCACACATAAAAGGTAGTTTACTGGTACATACCATCACACGCACAATGAAATGGCAAAACTGAAAATACCAAACACTGCATCATTCGCTGCCATGCGAAGCATAGCAGCTCATTAGAGGAGATGCTCAAGATGAGTTCCACCGCGCTATCACCAGTATAGCTTGCAAGTGTTGAGGAACTCCTGGTATAATGAATTTAGTAACTCAAGGGCAATCTAACAACTACCGAACTGCCCATCAAATGGACGGTGCATTTCAATATGACCCCCCTTTTGGGCCCCTGAATTCAGGGCTGGAGAAACCGGGGGGACCGGGGGGGACCGTCCCCCCCGGGCCCCATTAATTCCATTTCCTGGGGGGGACCTGGGAGGGACCTAATATATAACGAAAGTGGGCCCTTCTGACTTATGTTTAAAAAAGTAATCAGCCATTTTGGCCTGTATTAGTGTTTTAGATCTCACATTCCAAGCATCGGAGCCCT